CAATGGTCAATTCCAAGTTAATCTTCCTCTCAAGAGTCCCAACGAGCACCTAAAACTTGGCGATAGCTTTGCGCAAGCCAAAAGACGATTTTTTCTCCTAGAAAAAAGGTTTGAGAAAAATCAGAGTTTATTTCATGAATACAAATCATTCATTGATGAGTACATAGCATTGAATCATGCCAGAATAATTCCCCTCACAATAAAAAATGAGAAAAACGAAAATAAATTTTTTCTCCCACATCATCCAGTGTTAAGACCAGAGAGCACCACCACAAAGTTGCGAGTGGTTTTCGACGGTTCTATGACATCATCATCAGGAGTCTCCCTTAACAATATAACTCTCAAGGGTTTTCCCGTCCAGTCTGACCTCTTTGACATTTTGCTCAGATTCAGAGTTCGCAATTATGTGCTGATAGCTGACATTCAAAAAATGTATAGGAATATCCAAATCAATCCTAATCAAACATTTCTCCAAAACATTTTATGGAGGGATCACCCCACTGAAGATCTAAAATGCGTAGAACTTACTTCAGTTACGTACGGCTTGAATAGTTCAAGCTTCTTGGCAACTCGTTGCTTAAGTGAACTTGCTGTTTCTAAAAAATCTGACTATCCGCTAGCTTCACAGGCGTTGTTACTTCAAACGTACGTTGACGATGTCCTGGCTTCTCAGGAATCCTTAGATGAACTGCATCAACTTTATGTTGAATTAAATGCTCTTTTAAACTCAGCTGGATTTTATCTTCATAAGTTCGCATCGAATTCAAAGGAATTCACACAAAACGTCCTTAAAACTTCTAATTCTCAATTGTCTTCTCAAACGCTTGACATAAAAATGGAGCAGGTTTCAAACAAGGTTCTCGGTTTAAAGTGGAACTCATCCGAGGATCAATTTTGTATTTCTTTACCCGCGTTAGAAACCCAGAAATGCTTTACAAAGCGTGAGGTGCTGTCCAACATTGCGAAGATGTTTGATCCCTGTGGTTACCTTGGTCCAGTCATTGTTATCGCGAAAATTTTTATGCAAAAAATTTGAAACAGGAAGCTGGACTGGAACGACAAGCTTCCGCCCGACTTATTGGATGAATGGTTGGATTTATTCACAAGAATTCCTTGCCTGAAAAATGTCCAAGTTCCACGATGCTTACTTTTGAAGAAAAAGATTCTAACCGTCGAGCTTCATGGCTTTGCGGACGCAAGCCTACTTGCATATTCTGCTTGCGTGTATTTACGCGCAACATACGCAGATCATACAGTTTCTAGTCGTTTGATTTGTTCCAAGTCCAGAGTTAGCCCTGTAAAGACTATTAGCGTACCCAGACTCGAATTATGTGGTGCATTACTTTTAGCACGTCTCGTTGAGAAGGTTATAGTCATTTTCAATAATGCCATTAAATTTGAATCCATAAATTTATGGACGGATTCGGAAATTGTGTTATGCTGGTTGTCAGCACACTCTTCCAGATGGGTTGTTTTTGTGAGCAATCGTACTGCTGAAATACAAAGGTTAACCGAATCATTCATTTGGCGACATGTTTCTTCGGAAGAAAACGCAGCCGATCCTTTGTCCCGTGGAGTTTCTCCCGATAAAATTCAATTTTGCGAGTTGTGGTGGAAGGGACCTAATTTTTTGCAAAACTTTGAACTTGACCTCAGTAAATTCACATTCAAGATTTCACAAAACAATGAAGCATTAAAAGAGGAGCGACGTATAAAAACGATTTCTTCGCATTTTTCCATAACTAATGAATATTGTTACTCAAAATTTCTAAAATTTTCTAGTTTCACTCGCCTGCATAGAACTTTCGCTTTTATTTTCAGATTTGTGAAAAATTTAAAACATAGCTCCAATAAGGTTTTGGAAAATTCTTTATCAATCGAAGAATTGCAAGTTTCTCGTAACTTTATCATTAAAACCATACAAGAAAAGCATTTTTCCAAGGAAATATCCTGTCTAAAACACCACAAGGTCGTGCCTAACAAGGCAATCTTATCTTTAAGTCCCTTTTTGGACCCGGAAGGAATTTTAAGAGTCGGTGGCCGTCTGTCCAGAGCAGATATATCATTTGACCAGAAATTTCCCATTTTGCTGCCCGCTAAAGATCACGTAGTTGATCTAATTCTTACTAAGCAACATTTGGACCTGTATCATGCAGGCCCCCAAACTGTTTTATCGCATACTCGACATCGTTATTGGCCTCTCAATGGCCTTCGAGCCATTAAAAAACTAACAGGAAAGTGCATAGTTTGTTTCCGATTACGGGCCCAAGTAGCTCAACAAATAATGGCAGATTTGCCAGAGTTTCGAGTAAACTTCTCAAAACCATTTGCCAAGGTCGGCGTAGATTTTGGCGGACCAATGCTTGTCAAATCATCCTCGTTGCGGCAAGCCAAGCTTCTCAAATGCTACTTTGCCGTGTTCGTATGTATGGTCACAAAGGCCACACATATCGAACTAGTATCAGATCTTTCCACTAATGCTTTTATTTGCACACTCAAGCGCTTTATATCCCGTAGAGGTAATCCGTCCGTAATTTTCACCGATAACGCCACAAACTTCAAAGGCTCAAGAAATGAAATTAAAGAACTTTACGACTTCTTTAAAAATGATGCACATAATAAACAAATAAAGGATTTTCTATCACTTAGAGAAACGCAATGGGATTTCATCCCTCCTCGCTCTCCTCATTGGGGCGGTTTGTGGGAAAGCTCCATCAAAAGTACCAAATATCACATCACAAGAGTAATTGGCGACTCTCATTTTACTTTCGAAGTTTTAAGTACTGTATTGGCTCAAATAGAGGCAATTCTCAATTCCAGGCCACTTTGCGCCTTATCAAACGACCCTTTGGACCTCGATGTCCTCACTCCAGGCCATTTTCTCATTGGCTCCAGTTTAACATCTTTTCCAGAAAGATCCTTAGAAAACACCACTACAAATAGACTTTCTATGTGGAAAAACATGACAAAGGTTCAACAGGCCTTCTGGAAAAGATGGTCAACTGAGTACTTAAACCAACTTCAGAATAAACCAAAGTGGCTAGTCCAAAAACCAAATATTAAAGTTAATGACCTTGTCCTCATAAAGGAAGAAAATGTACCTCCTTTAAAATGGCCAAGAGCCCGGGTAACTGAAATCATTACGAGTGCAGATAATAATGTTCGTGTTGTAAAATTAAGAACAAAAGACTCCGAATTCACTCGTTCAATCGCAAAGCTGTGTCCACTGCCATTGAACAATGAGTGATGGTCCTTCGAATCGTTTCTTTTCTCCATTTCTTGAAGCTGAGGCTTCAAGGGGGGGGAGTATGTTGAAATTTCATTTCAACCCGCTGCCGCCGCCGCTGCATTTAAAGTTAAATTTCTTTATATTTTTATTCCTACTATAATCTGCTGTTTCTACGTTTCTACCCGATTTTCAAGGGAACGTGCGTATGCCCAAGCGCATCGCAAAAGTAGGTCAAGACTGGAGGTGGAGAGTACCTACGAAGTCGAAGTTTTTTGTTTGCCTTGAGTTCTCACTTCTAGTCAGAGATCGTAACGAATTGCAAGGGTTGTTTTGTACCGCTTTTTTCTTTTCTCCAAATGGCCCGATCGTGCGCCTGAAATCAACCTTTTCTTTCTCTTCAGTTTTCTATTGTTTAATTGCTGTTAATTAACCAATTATTTGCGTTAAAGTGAACGTTCCATATACTTATTTAAATATGCAATGTTCTTCAGAATTTGTTACCTGTTTTCTGTAAATAGTTGTGAATAGTCGTTTTTCGTTCAAATTAAAATAAAATAACTTTTCATAATCAAACCATCGTGTTTGCTTGAACCTGGATTTACGAACAAGAATTAGCACGGCATTGGCAGCATTCTACCACAGATTCTACACTTGAAAAATAAATAAATGTTGGAAACCACAACACTAGTTTCTCGACTGTTTCCAACCAATAAAATTTGCTCTGACTGGTTTGTGATTTCTGTGCGAACAGACCTTAAATCAACTTATTGACAACTTTAATCTGACACATCATTCAGTGCAAAACTTGATAGGTGTCAAAGCTGAGACCGCGGGCCTTTGCCCCAATAAGCTGCCCTGCCACCTTTTTCCGGCAAGTTCTCACGAGGCAGGATCGACTTTTTAGATAGAGGACATCGAGACCTTTAATCTGATACCCTACTTAGGGCATATAACTCGATGGGGGTAGTGTCCCCTTTTTTTCAGTTTGTTAATAATTTGTTGAAAGATATTTCCGGCGCGGTCGTGTTCCAGACTAACGGTCGTGTTCCAGACTAACTTGTGTTGGCATAATTATCGCCACAGTTAACAACACAACAATTTGTGAAACTGTTCCTGACATGACAAGTAGTGGATATGCACAATAGCTTGAATTAATGATAATAAAAAGTGTTTGGCAAATAAAAATTACAAGAAAAAAAGTGTAATTAAATGTAATTGTTTCGTGTAAACAACCATACCTTTATAATGAAATATATTTCGCTTTGAAATCGTTTTTTATGAGAAAAATTACATTTGTGTAAATGGAATCAAGCACTAGTCATAATACAAGAACTTACGTTGCTGTCGAAAGAGGGCGCTACTGTAGTTTATGGACGGACTCTATAGCCAAGCAAAATATTCATGATTGATTGTCAGTCAAGCCTGACATATTATATGAATTCTCGCTCAGACTAAACTGCGTGTCACTACCTTATCAACAATCCATCGATTCCAAACGAAATTTCTTAGTTAAAAAAAAATCCTTGCTTTTATAGACCTTGTATTCGCTTATTGATTATCGTATCTACCCTTTGGTTGTTGTACCTATACGTTTTCAATTACCGTAGTCAGCCTAGTGCGTAGAGTTGTATTTTTATTAACCTTTTTATCGTTGAGATATCGTCAAGTACCGACTTTTGATTTTCCGTCCTTGATAATTTTCAACATAAAGTACATACGAATAAAATTATTTTCAAAATTGATAAATTGCGGAAAAAGATATAGCACTTACCCCACTTCCGTATCCAAGCATACATGTAGTTTTGGGTTCATTGACAGTGGACCATAATTTGACAAAAGGCCCCAAATTTTCGAAAACTATCCTGGAATATTCACCAAAACGGTCGGCCGTACTGTCGTTCAACCAGCCACCTTGTTCATTGAGTACTTGGGGCAAGTCCCAATGGTACAAGGTAACCATGGGAGTGATACCCTCATCCAGCAATCCCTAATTAATGTATAATTAGCATTGAGACAAATGGGTGGCGTTTATAAAATCAAATTATCTATTTGGATTTTTCGATTTTATTTGCTTCATACCTTTACAAAGTTGACATAATAGTCAACTCCAGCCTGATTGTAGCTGTCCAAGTAACCAGTAGGAAGGATTCTAGTCCAAGAAACGGAAAATCTACAAGGAAATTTATCAAATAATATGAAGCTGTTTAAGACATAATTTCTCACTTACCTGTATAAAGAGACTCCTAATTCCTTAATCAACTGAATGTCTTCCCTCCATTTGTGGTAAGAGTCACAGGCTACGTCACCGTTCAATTTGTCATCTGTTACGTCTAAAAGAGTATTTCAAAAATAGGCAAGTAATGTACGAGATTTAAACAACTTACTAGGATTTGCATGAGTGAAATGATCCCACATACTCTCTCCTTTGCCGTCTTCATTCCATCCACCTTCTATCTGGTAAGCAGCAGTGGCAGCTCCCCACCTGAATGATTCTGGAAATGTTCGGTTGTTGATTTCAGCCTTCGGTAGGGAAGCTCCAAACGCTCTAGTAAAAAAACAAAGTAAATTTGAGAAAAAATGTTATTCCTATTCCACTTACTCCACGATCAAACACACCGAAATCAGTATTAAGACCTTCATGGTTATCTTCAGAAAAATAGCAATGCAAACAAAATGATTGCTCGGATCAATATATAATAAATTTTATCAAACAATTCAGTGTGCTTGAAATAATAATTGATTTTTTCTTGTGATTAAAATCAAATTCAATAATAATTTTTTTGTGATACTTACAAAAGGCTAAATATACCTAATTTTTGGAATTTTGGATTTAATTATTATCGAAAATAAAAAAGAAACCAAAAAATAAGTTTATTGGACTATTTTCTTTACATTAACTGCTTTCGGATAAGTATAGAGGACCCCGCAATATTTAAGTGGAAATTGGTTACCAGTGATATTTGAATGAAATTTAAATGTTATTTGATGCCGTAAGCAACATTTTTTACCAGGAGCACAACCTTGTAGATATGACAGGTGAGGCGGCGTTAGCTGTCAAATATTGGAATCTAATATCCCAAAGTAGAGTAGCTATGGCAGGTTTTGATGAACGAAGGAAGATTTGAGAGCTAACACCGCCTCACCTGTCATATATACAAGGTTGTGCCCATGGTAAAAAATGATGCTCACGGCATCCCCAAAAACATTTCATCCATATAGGTATCACGGGTAACCAATTTCCATTTAAATATTGCGGGATCCTTTAAAATACTGTTTTTATCTACGGTTTGAGAATAAAACAAGAAATCATTAAGTAAAGATTTATACTTGAGAGTTGCAGCAGAAGCAACGCAAAAATTACGGAAGTGTGTTATTTTCCTGACAGGTATCTTCTTCGAAAGTGGTAATCGCGACACAAAGTCGAACTCCAGAAAGTTGTCGTAGAAATCCCGACATACAACGTCACCAAAGTCCAAAGGAACTTTGATAAAAGTCAACCTCCATCCACGCTTTACACTCTGTATTTTTCCCGAAACCTAATTTACTCGACAGTGTTTACCCCGACCGTAGAAATGGCGACAAACTTGTTGGATCCACCCCAGAACCGTAACAGTGTTGCCACTTATGTTCGCTTATTCGATTAAGGTTTATTCATCTTCAGATAAACTGGCTGGTACCTAACTGTCTGCAAGATAAATATACCGTTCTATAATTTTATTCGTCGGCGGATAACTGGCCGACCAATAGGATTACAGATTGCGTTTTTATCCTTTAGATTGCATACCTGACAGTTTATCAAAAGGAGAAGGTAAATAAATCGGCCCTTAGTTCAGTATATTTATTCCGATAGATAGAACATGAAAAATTAGTAGGTGCTCCATAATATTGGTAAATTATTGTAAAATAATATTTATTTCTTGTATTTTTATGTTATATAAGAAGTTAAACCGTAATATATTCATTATATACCCAGGTATCCACCTATTTATTTTCTACCATCCTTGTTAATTTTTCACTATACCTAGTTGGGTTATTTGATTATCAACTGCAATAATACACAAAAACAACATGTCATCTGATATTCTGATATTTACAAAGTTCATGCGTTGTTATAATTAGTAGGTACCTAACGATATTTTTATCAGGAGTAAATTAAATGAATGTTTTACAATGATGTTCATGTTTCTGGATTAGGTAAAAATAAATAAAAGCTTTCTCAACATATTAGTCTAGGAGGCAGTGAAAATTTTCGGTACTTATTTTCCCAGTCAGCAAACATGGATAGAATTGTAGGGTTAGTAATTCTAAGCAAAATTCATATATTTACGTGAGGGTTTCCGATGGGTTGAGTCGGAAAAATGGCCCTTTTTTTCTGATGATAAAAATAGTTATACCAGTAAGAGGTTTAGGTACTGAAGTTACGTAAAAGAATAGTCTGGCTAATCCGTGAGCATAGATAATACGTCTGGCAAGTGAAAAATTGAAGATCCGAAAATTTTCAGCCAGACTTACTTTCCGCTATCTGAGATAAGCCAGCTGCTATTTTCATATTAAGTACTTTTTGTTCTATTTCAGTAAAAATTAAATATTTCATTTATGTTTTGAACCCATCCGAAAATTTTAGCCACACTCAAAAACTCTTGTTTTGTGTCCAAGAGAATAAACTATCTAATATACACCAACTGGGAAAATGAGTACTAAAAAATTGCACTGCTTGCTGGACTGTATTTATTGTATGTATTTTTTCATTGATTCGATGAATTACAAACAGCTGTCAGTTGTACTTACTCACCTAATAGTACATTAAAATACAAGTTTCATAAGACGTCTATTTATCGCACGAGCCCTATATTAGAAAACGAGCCGGAGGCGAGTTTTCTAAAGGGCGAATTGTTGGAATATTTGCCAAGACAGATGCAGCCTCTATGGATGTTGTTACATAGGCGCCAATCATATTTTCAGCTACAAGACCTCTTATAAAGTAGAGTTTAATTTATTATGGAATCTAGCGTGCCCCAATTTGTTCTGAAATGTGCTGCATCCATATGTGAAAAAGGGTATGATAGCGCCATGAAATATCGTTCTCAAAGATGATTCGTCAAACTGGTAGATTCGTGCAAGGGTTCTTCTTAATGATTGGAAAATCACCTTTGCCTTATTCACGACAAAATTGATCTGTTCTTGAAGTGTAAGCTTTTCATCCATAGTGATCCCCAAATATCTAGCGTTTCTGGAGCGGCTAATGTTTCCTCCTCCCAGTTTCACTAAGGGATTGCGTATAATCCTTGCACCACGTATGGTGTAGGTGCATTTGTTAAGTGAAAGTTTTAATTTGTTCAAAACTTCCCATTCATGACCAAGATCAAGCGCCAGGTTCATCCTTCTCTCGAGTTCAGGTCTAGAATTCGCTCCCGTGGTGATCGCCAGATCATCAGCATATGCTATCAAGTGGCAGTTGTCCACTTCTTCAAATCTCTGCAGCAGAGGATCAACAATAAGATTCCACAGATTTGGGTCCAGCCTAGAGCCCTCAGGGCATCCTCTCTAGAGCGTCTTTCTTACTGTTATGAGTCCAAAATTTTATGTTATGCTCAACATTGTCCGCATTTGGATTATCATTAGTGATAAATCTATTTAAGATCACAGCAGCTGGATCATGAAAGCTTGTTGCGGTGTTATTCGTGAAAGCAACAGTCTGAAGCAGCTTTTTCGCAGCCATCTTATAGGGCATACTCCAGGGATCGCGCCACATGCTAGCTGTAACGAATTCATCCCATGACTTTTCCTTCACTTTTTTGAGTTATCTGTTAAAGTTATCTTTGGCTTCAATATAAATGCGTCTAAGTCGTTCTTTTTCTTCAACAGCACGCGACTCCCAAATAATGTCCTGCTCAAGAATGTCCATGCCAATAATAACCATATCTAGAGCCTTTTTGATATTAATTTCAGTTTTGACCTAAGCAAACATAGGTTTCTCCTTCATATCTGCGATACAAGCAATTGTGTAATCGAAAGTTATAATTCTGTGATCGCTAAACGTATCAGGCCATAGGTACCCTCCAATCCTCATCCTTATCAAGCACATCTCGTGTGCATACCGTCATATCTATGTTATACTGCTGCCCAGTGCACTGTGGTACGTATCATATTCGCTGATCGTGATTAATAAAAAAAAAAAACCAGCAGAGTTTAAAAACTCCACTAGGCTGTTTCCTCTGACGCCGTTATTCCTATCAAAACACGACTGATTGTGTGCGTTCGAGTCTATTCCAAGGATCAATGGTAAATTGTCCTGATCTCACGTGTTATCATATTCAAATATGGCTCGATATCAAAAGTGTCTTTTGGGGGCCAATATTGCGAACCACCTTTCAGCTTTGCTCCACAGAAGCCATAACAGTCGCCATAACCGAAAGCTTGTTGTTAAATTGAGTAAGTTTTATTGTCACAATTTTCTTGTTAATTACCATAGAGGAACGCCGTAGTCTGATCAGCCACTATGGAGTTGATACCGGTAAGATGTATTTTAATCCAACCTTATGCGTATAAGGGTGGTGGATAAGAAGGATGTTTATGTTATTACTAATTGCGTCGGTCACGCAGCTGATTGTCGCATTGAAATCATGAAGTTAGTTCTGCTCTCCAAATCTTAATGTGTTTGTCTTATCCATGAACAGTTCCCAAAATCAATGCTCGCCACGAGTTGCTCCATTTTCCGCTTAAATGCCAAGCACTTGCCATCCCTTGGTCTATGATTAAAGTCCTCTAATTTGGCCTTTTTACATAATGTGCATTTGAATTTCTCTGGCCTCTCTTTGTCAGGGCAATTTCTGGAGTCGTGCCCATTAGCGCAGTAGCCGCAGCTAATGGCATTGTTACACTTTGAGGAAAACCACAGAAATGACACAGTATGTTTTGATTTTTGAGGAATTGAAATCGAGGGTTTCTCTGCCGTGCTCTTTCCCCTCGTGAATTCCAGGATGAGAAAGATACGATTTTCTAATAATAAATTAGACGTTTCACAAATTTTTCGTTTATTTTACATATGACAACAGCCCTTAAATTTTCCTAATTTTGTTATTGTCGGGCGCATTTCAAGTAAGTAAAATTGAGTAAGTTTCCACAACGTAGGTTTTATTTGTTTTTCATTTCGTTATTCAGAAGATTTGCCTTAAAAATAGATAATAGAAATTCTAACCGTTCAATCTTGCTGAACGAACCCGCGTATGTTATACTACAGGTTTTTGGTGCCGCGACCAGGATGCGCTTCTTATTCGACAGGCAAATTTGGGAATTTGAGTGGAAATGTTGTTTTTTTGTTTCATTTTTTAATAGGCCTGTTTTCAGAAAAGTGTAGGCAATAATAATCAGTTTTGAGCTTGTCCTCAAATAGAAAAAAAAAAGCTACATGCATTTCTCAATTCATTACGATTTGTTTACCCTAAAATTTCTTCAAGTTTTCGGAATGTGAACACCGGATTTTTCAGGCCTAAAATATAGTTACCCTTTTTGCTTGGAATGTTTTTTTTTCACGAGCTTAAAAGAGATTCTGACTAATAGAAAGAAAAAGGAAGTAGACAAAGATGCCAGACGATTCGTTCCTCGATTTAAGGGGGCAACATCGCTCCCATGCACACGATACAAATTAGATTTTTACTTATAAAAAAAATAGGTATATAGATGGCGCCAAGATTTGAAATAATAGCGATTTCAATTTGCAGAATCAGTGAAACTTTTTTCACTCAGTTCGCACTGATTGACTAATGGGAATTGCTCGGAAAATTGCCATTATTATTTCGCCTGGCCCAACCAAACTTGATATACTTATTTTTCCTATTTTACTTTATTAGGAATAGAACAGGTTTTTATGTATGAAGAAATTGCCTTGTATTGATTTCGGAATATTTCCACTAAGTAGGTATAATCTTTTGCCAATTTTTCAAATTTTAATTTTTTTTTATTTTGGATTTTTGCAACGCTTCTAAATAGTTGTATTCCTTTCATACCTAGGAGGATCTCCGGAACAGCTCCGGGGCTTCACGCGCTTATTCCTTTCGAAAAGTGTTTGTTGCACCACGCATCTGTTCCCTGCAAATCGGGGGCGACTGAACACCGGAGCGAGTAGCTCGAGTGATTCAAACTCTTGAACAACTAATGATATTCATAAATATGTATGTAAAAAATAGGTAGGTAAGTAGTTAGTGAATTGAATTAGTAGAGAAATTTCTTCGATCCGAAAAAACTGATATAGGAGTTCAAAACAATTGGTTTTACAAAGATTTGATTGGCCTCGACTGTTTTTTGACGCCGCATATATTACTTTCTTTCTTTCTTCTACTGTAATTGAAATAAGACAAAAAATAGTTCATCGGTTCTCAATGATGACCTATGTTTGTCTTTGTCTATTTTTTTTTTTGGTATTAGACAAAGAAAACCATTTACTCACTAGCGCGATTGTTTGTTTCGATTGCCGTTAGAACTTTGGCGATAAATAAATGAAATTTATTTTGAACTAGTTTGCCGGGTAATTTTTTTTTATGGCAAAGAATCCAAGGTCAGTGAAAATCTTGGAAGAGTGAAAAAGGCGATTCTTGTGATTATTTCTTGCTTGCCTTTTGCGTGCATCGTACGTACAAGTTATAAGGAATTTTCAGTAAATTATTTTTTATATTTTGTGATTTTCTTTTGTGAAATAATGGGTAAAGTGAAAGAAAATTACTATGTTCCTAAAAAAACCAATAGAGCCCAGCATCTTCGGGAAAGTTTTTTTAGAAAAAAAATGTAAGTACCGATTTCCATTTTTACTAGAAAGAAGAAAC